ACTGTTGTCATGGCGACGGCACGACAGGTGTCATTTTGTTTCTTTTGTGATGTACATTTCTGGTGCCAAGTTTAAAGAACACTGCTTTAGTATTTCTAGAGATATTCTTGATTGAGTGTTGAACTGTTTTAGTGGAACCACCTATGACATCATCACTTAGAGTACAAAAACGTGAATATCTCTAAAACGAAAAAAGATATTCCAAAAAGGAAAACGCCATTCTTCTTTACTTTGAAAAGCCTTTCAAATCAGCAGCAATTATTTTTTACTTCATAGGCACTTTAAATACCTGAGTGGAGAGAGGCACTGTGAGAGTAAAGTGTCTTGCCCGATAACACAACACAAGGGCTCTAACCCGGACGGTCGAGCGCACTAACCACAAGGCCACCTTCGGTGACTACATGGTAACCAAGCCTGCCTGGTAAAACCGGCTGGTAAACCATTCGAAAGTGTGGTCTATCAATTGGTACCTCTAGCTCATACAAACCTTACCTTAATATCAGAGTTACAGGAATGGAAAAGTTACCAAGAATAGCTTGCAAATAAGGTGGGGTTCTGTTACCACTGCTGGAAAATACGATAAACATTGCTGAAACACCTTGAAAGGAACCAACCAAAAGCATTAACCGACGATTACTCCACTCTGTCTTGACCAAGTAGTTTGGGCAAATGAAGTCACTGCATAGCAACACGAAACCAAAGACAATCACGAACGAAAGAGAAGCAAAGGATACCACAAAATAGCCGTCTACGGTTGGCTTCCATTTTGCCGTCTGGTTTTGAGTTGATGTCGTGCTGTCGATCCACAAAGGCAAGCTGGCATATTGCGTGACCTGCCCGGTCACGACAACAGTTGAAAATAATATGGTGGCTACACTGACCAAAGAACAACAGGAAAAGCTACTCGTTTGCCGTCTTTCTTGATGCCTATTGACAAGATGATCGTCTTCAAACGCGCTGCTGTTGATAAGAGGATCGTGTTCTTTAGGAAAACCGATCACAGAATAGTTGTTGTCGACCGACATAATTTCTGCTTTAAAGCTTCACTGAGAGCCAACTTTACAAAGGCTAAGTACACCGTTGGATCAGTGAAAAATCAGCACACAGTTGTGAAAAATCTGCACACAGGTGTGATTCGTCCATCAATAAAATTGATATTGAGTGAAAAGAGCCAGGCTTGAAATAGGACAGTGAACGACTCGCATTATACCCCCCGCGGACCAAAATTGAGTGACCTTCCATCATTTGAAAGTCATGTGAGAGAAAAAACTGTTGTCATAGGGGAGGGGAGGCTTGAGTGATTTACTCTGGCGTTTTATTGTCATTTCCCAGACTTGCCACCAGTCGACCTTTTGAGTTTCAGGGTAGAATAGCTAAGCAAGCTTCCATTGTTTTAGGCCCTGTTTACAAGCAGGTAGGGTAACCCTAGTGCTAGAGTTACCCTGGTAGGAAGGTTACCCTAACGCTCCCACGTTTCTTCTTTTTTTCATCGACGTGTTTACAAGGCAGCTAGGGTTAGCCTGACACTAGGGTAACCCTAGCTGCCTTGTGAACGCTCTGCTAGGGATAACTCGCCTACCCGGTGTCCGGGAAAACTTTTTACTTGTTTCCAGACCCTTTGAAGGTTGACAACAAACGGCCATCATCATCTTCCATTTGCTTTCCTACACCCTGCCCTCAAATAAGTTTCTCAACCATTGATCCGTACGGCCTGGTTTTCTTTAAAAATCATCTTCGTCGAATAACTCTCCTTTTTACATGACGCATTCGAGCGAGTGCTTTGGCTCAGAGAGCAAGACCATGGTTTGTGACACTTAGAATTTCTTTAGGTCGACTGCCGGTCAGGGTTTCCAACTCACTAAATGATCACGGCGGCAGTCTGATATTTTACTCAGATTTAAGGAATCGAAGGAACCCATCCCAACCCAAGCGATCCAGAAGAGCTGTATAGATCGCAAGTTTAATAAACGCTTGGTTTACGCTCGGCTCAGATCAGAGAGCGAGACTGTGGTTTGTGACACTTCCGTCGATATTTTTTGGTCGACTGCTGACCGGTAACGGTCTTCAAATTATTACTAAATGACGGCAGTCCGAGTTTAGGGAATCGAGCGAACCGATCATGTACAAGCTATCTTACAACTGAGAAGTTTCAAGCGATCCAAAAAATTTTTTTATATTATAAGTATGAGAATGGATGGGTTCCTTCGATTCCTTAATTTGAGAAAAATATCAGAACTGCCGGTCATTTAGTGAGTTGGAAACCGTGACCGGCAGTCGACCTAAAGAAATTCTAAGTGTCGCAAACCATGGTCTCGCTATCTGAGCCGAGCGTAAACCAAGCATTAGACTTGCGAACTATTCTCGGTTTTCACCGGTCGTGATGAAAACTAAAAATCGTAATCATGCAATAAATAAATTCAAGAATCTGGGATATAATAGATGATTGCTATATAAACGACCTCGCCAAGAATCAGGTATTTGCTGTTTTTCATTCGCCCGTTATTCGAAGTAGTGTGTCACCCAAATTTATAGAGCTTTGTATGGAGACGCCATGTTTGTGCGCTTCTGAGGGGCACAAACATGGCGGCCGTAAGATAACCAAAACATCTGTCGTTGAGTATTGCCATTGAAACGAAAATACTTTTACTCTAGAGCTCCGACATATTGAAATAAATGCTTCTTCTAGAGCAAGCACCGTTTATTTAGCAAAAACTAAAGTGATAACTCATCTTTTGACCTACGCGACAGTCTTTTCGGGCTTGGAGTGCTATATTACAAAAAGAAGAACTCTGTCGAGCTAAGACATTGTCAAACGTCACGTTAACGTTCCTATAGGGTCTTTTATCTGATGAAACTAAAACCTCAGAAGGAAAGATAATGTCTAATTTTGGAATATGACTACGTCACATGAAAACCAAGAATACAGCTCTCCTGGATCGCTTGGCAGTTGTTGATCGACATGTTAGTCCGGCAGCAAATGTCATGAAATAAAGTCCTGTGAGAATTTCGTGAAGAAAGCTAGCCAGTAGTCTAACTGTGTTAAGGGGACCCTAAATTACATGAAAACTTTTGGTGGCAACTTTGGAACTCGCTTAGACGGGAATTATGGAACAACATGGAAACGAGGCTCAAACATAAACTTGTCCATTGCTATCCATTATTTGCATAAAATTGAACCAAAATCACCACAATTATGCAAATGTCTCAAATATGAAGATACGATTTTAAGAGGTTATTGGGGTCACGTGACCAAGCTAGCATGAAAACGAGGCTCACACAAAAGCTGCACTGGAAAACCCTTAAAAGTCTCCTGACGAAGAAAGAGATTGAGGAAAGTATTGTTGGGTGTATGTCATCCGTGTAATCAAACATACTCATATTGTAAGGGTTATTACGTGACCATGCTTGCATGAAAACGAGGCTGACACAATAGTTGAAGTGGAGAGCATAGGACATTGCAAAAAGATGAGGTATGAAGTATTGTTGGTAGATAACACCTGTGCATTCAAACAAGTTTATAAGGTTCGGGTTTTCAGATGAAAAGTCTATCATGAAAAAAAGAATATGCACGTATGATTCCTTTGTACCTTGCTGAGATGTCATCCTTGAAAGCATCAGATCCAGAAATCTATGAAGAGTTCATCCAAGGAAACTGGGTAGTGAACAAAAATGCTGAAGTACCATTCTGCGCAGTAGGAGCCGACAATGTACTCGAACATAAAAACCGTTCCATGAAAGACTCTGGAGGATTGGTTGGGATCACATCACCCTAAATGCAGCTGCTCGGACGAAATTCTTCCTGATAGATCCAGAGCTCGCAAGCCTAGCTGAACAAGCAAAGAACATGGCTGGGGGTGTCTTCCAAGCCTCAAGGTCGTCATCATAACCTCACTACAGCTGTCTTAGCTCGCGAAGAGAAAGGTGTAGCACAGTTAACAGCCACCAATGAAAAGTTCACGAATCCATTCTCTGATGCACATACCGACCTGTTCAACCTAGTGACCAAGGTGGTTATGCCAGAAACGGTAAAGAGAGATTTGTGTGAACAAAGTGAGATCGGTAGGAGACTGTTTGACTGTTTTGTAAAAGAACGAGTCCAGTCTGGCGAAGTCAACCTTTGGTCGACCATGAAGAAGACAAAACTCCTAACATGGAAAACCAGGTTAAAGGTGGTACAGGTGACTGCAGCAGACAAGATTGTGGAGATTCAAGAGGATAGGTCCCTTTTCGCGCGTATGATGATGGTGTGCAAGAGCAGGCCAGAAATTGATATAAAGGAGACTGTAGGCCAATACGAATTTTCGGTACACCCGCGATCAATATTGTTTGCTGCTGATTGCACAATGCTTCACTGTTCATCCAAGAGTAATCTAATGAACATTCTAGAGAAGCTGAAAGACAAATAGAAACAACAGGAGAGTAGCTAGTCCAAATGAAGATTAACTGCAAGTCGCAATTTTAGATGGTATGGCAGAGGTTCAGTCACTTGACAAGCCAGAGTGGATCAAAAATTGCGCACAGCTGGCTGAACACTTCAGGAACCGTGTTCTGCAGACGTATACTGGAAGTAATAAAATGCGTTTAATTTTCGGCAGATATAATTTACCTTTTTCACTCAAAGCGGCCACCAGGGTTAGACGGCAAGGAGGCCAAGCTCAAGTGTATTACACACATCACCGACACAACGCACATTGCTAAAGTTCCACTGAAACGACCCCTGTCACACACGAGGCCAAGATGGAGCTCACCATCTATTTGGGCCAAAAGGTTTAAGAGTATGCTAATCGTAGTGGAAGGAAACTGGTGGTGGAATGGGGAAGTGAGTGTCAGGCAACACACAAGGATGTGGTACATGTGGCAGAAAAAAGTTTATGTGATCCGCTGTAATGTTTTGGTTACATTATATCACTGCTATGAAGAGTGACAAGGAGATGTCAGACTATTTTGATTAAACTAGTTAACTGGCCAATGTCTGTCATATTTATATTTTTAATCAATTCGTAAAATAGGCTCCCTTAAAAGATTGTCATTTTGGAAAACAACCAAGGCTTCATTTATAACAGCCTCGTTTTCGTGCAAGCATGGTCACGTGATTACCCTTACCATATAAGCACGTTTGATTACACGGATGACATACTGTCTTCGTAAGGAGACGTTTAAAGGGCTTTCCAGTGCAGCTTTTGTGTGAGCTTCGTTTTCATGTTAGCTTGGTCACGTGACCCAAATAACCTCTTAAAATTGCATCTTCATATTTGAAACATTTATTTGCATAATTGTGGTGATTTTGGACAATTATAGACAATTTTATGTTTGAGCCTCGTTTCCATGTTGGGATACACGCGTTACATTTTCAACCCCCTCATAATCCCGTACGAGCAAGTTGCCACCAAAACTTTCCATGTTATTTAGGGTCCTCTAACACATTCAGACTAGTGGCTCGCTTTCTTCATGAAATTCCCATGGCATTACACATGCTCCCGGACTATGTGATAGTTTGAATTTGATGGGTTCCTTCGATTCCTTAAAATTTGAGAAAAATATCAGACTACCGGTCATTTAGTGATTTGAAATACTTGACCGGCTGCTGGTCATTTAGCCACAGCGTTTAACGAAATGCAAACTGTGAAGGTAAATGTGAGGGATTCATGAGATGTGGGCTGTGTAGGTATATGGTGTGAATTACATGTAGTACGATGAGAGCTGTGTAGGTATATGTAGGGGATAAATGAGAGGTAAGTTGTGTAGCCTGCGAACAGGCTTCCGGCGAGCGCGAAACAGAAGAATTCGAAGAGCAAAGCAATCGGGGCGGGGACAGGGGAGCCTGTAGACTTTGTTTCTGATGTGCCTATCCGCCCTTGGCGATAAGCCTGTAACAAATCAGTCAATGAGGTAATTAGATCTGTCAAGGAAGCTACATTTTCGGTACTTGCAAACAGTTCGAATCGAGCTAATCAAATAGCCGGGCCGGGCGTCATAATATAAAGTGCAAGTAAGCAACATGTTCACGAAATATTTCGAACACTTTGTATCTCCACAGCCAATACTTAGAGAGCTTATAACATAGTTTGCAATACTGAAATGAGCCTAAAGAAATTATAAGCACATGATAGAGGTGTCAAACTCTGCGAAGCGACAAGCAGACCCGGGGGGGTACTCCTTTATATGGCCAAAACAGGTATGTGCGGCCCTAAAGGGTAGGGTTTTTCAGCCGTTTTAGTCATAAATAGGGTATCGATTTTGGCCATTTTGGTTATAAATAGGGTATGGTTTTAGCACTCTAGTCTTTAATTGGGTATATTTCTTAGAAGAAGCTACTTTTTCATCGTTATCAATAAGAACGTCAACAAAAGTCCTTCATAAGTTCAGTTTAAGGCAACTGCGCCAGCCGTATCGGTCATAAATAGGGTATCGAATTGTTGGCCAGGTCATAAATAGGGTAGGAAAAATCGCAGATTTTGGTCATAAATGGGGCAAGGCTTCTGGGAAGTGGGCTGCACACCCCCACCCAACTTTTCTGAGAGTACCCCCCCGGGCAAGCAGATAACAGCGGAAAGTCCGGAAACCATGCCTTTGACCTCTAAAAAAATTGCTTTAGCACCGCCAAACGGCTCCACTCCACTAGCTTCTACTTAAAATTCCTCCTCGTAACAGAGCATAAAGTACCCTTCGGAATCACTTGTCAAATAACGAGAGGTCGAGAGACCGAAAGTTAAAAGAGAACGGCAAATGCACTATTGTAACGAACCGTTGGAGCCGTATAATTTTACAAAGATCTGTCAAATATTCATCTCAAAGATGTCGACAATCAGCAATTTAACCAATCATATCATGATACCAGGAGCTGGTATCATAGAACAGCGGCATCAATAGAATGTCTACCTACGTCTGGCTCCCTCGCTTCGTTCGGACTCACCGGGAGCCTGTTCGCAGGCTATAAGCTGTGTAAGTAAATGTGAGTGATTAATGAGCTGTAGGCTGTGTAGGCATATGTGGGTGATTTAATGAGATGTAGGATGTGTAGGTGTGTGGGGGGGATTAATGGATGTGGGCTGTGTAGGTATATGTAGGGCATTAATGAGATGTAGGCTGTGTAGGTGTATGTGGGGATTAATGAGATGTAGGCTGTGTAGGTATATGAGGGGGAATAATGAGATGTGGGCTTTGTAGGTATATGTAGGTGTATGTGGGGGATTAATGAGATGAAGGCTGTGTAGGTATATGTGGGGGATTTAATGAGATGTAGGCTGTGTAGGTATATGTGGGGGATTTAATGAGATGTAGGCTGTGTAGGTATATGTGGGGGATTAATGAGATGTAGGATGTGAAGGTATATGAGGGGGATAAATGAGATGTAGGCTGTGTAGGTATATGTTAGGGATTAATGAGATGTGGGCTGTGTAGGTATATGTAGGTATTTGTGGGAGATTAATGGGATGTAGGCTATGTAAGTGTATGTGGGGGATTAATGAGATGTGGGGTGTGCAGGTATATGTAGGGAATTAATGAGATGTGGAGTGTGCAGGTATATGTAGGGAATTAATGAGATGTAGGCTGGGAAGGTATATGTGGGGGATTAATGAGATGTAGGCTGTCCAGGTATATGAAGGGAATTAATGAGATGTAGGCTGTGTAGGTATAGGTGGGGGATT